AAAAAGTTATTTAGTCAAGAGCAGATTTGAGCAGAGTTTTTTTTTTTTTTTTTTGTTCTTTAACACAGACTGACAGACAGCAGGTATACTAAAAGCTGCTGTCACTTTCATACCAAATGTTAATGTTAACAATGTTAATTAATTATTGGTTATTGTTAATTAATGTTAACAACAAAAGACAAAATCACTCACTGCTCTTGACTGAATAATTTTTGTAACTTTAAATTTTAAGAATCGGTTGTTTAATTTACAGTGAATTTACTGTTTTTAATTTACAGTTTATTCAATTTCTGCACCTGAATGTTTTCCATCAAAGCTGTTTCTAAAACGAAATTCAGGTCCCGAGTTTAATTTATAATTCTAGCTAAGCAAATTACAATATACTTAACATTCTGGCATTCAGTTATGTGATTATGTAACTTATGTTCTCTGCACGAAGTAACGTCTGGCACAGTCGCAGCCTATGCTTATTAGAAAGCAAACAAATAGCACTAATAATCATTAATTTTCCGAACATTTGTGTAAAATAATGGAGCATTAGGTCATGAATATTGCCTTAAAAGTCATTGAAATTTATTGGTTGAACGAACCCTGCATTTAATCAGTGAATGCCTATGATATAGGAGTTAGCCTATCACACAAACTTGATGTGTTGCGAGATCACATGTGATCTCTCACACAGAGATCTCTCACACACTAGATGTGTTGAGAGATGTGCTGTTTTTCCGAATATCTGCACGATCGCAAATGTGCAATAAACAACAAGTTACGGAGTAACTTTCAGACAAAAAAAAATTGTGTTTTGCCCCATCGATGCATCTCCGAGCAACACAGTGTTTTGTTTCTCAGCATTACACGGACCAGTAAATGGTTCAAACAGGCTATTAGTACAGTTGTTTGCCAAGTTAAATGAATTAGCATTTTAAACAAATCGGTTGATTTAAGGATTCAACTCGCTCATTAAGACAGTCACTTGCTGCCACCTACTGGCAGTTGTAGTTTCATATTTTAAAAAGTAGCTCATTTCATTTTCGCAATCATTTAATATTTCTAGATTAAAATGTTGTATTTAAACTTAACATAACTTATGCAAAATCCATCTATGGATTTTGTTTATAGTGATTTCATTTGATTGTTAATAGCCAACATGCTTTTTTATTCAGATTGAATTTATTAAATTTAAGAATCTGACACAAAAGGACACAGATATGACAATACATTTTCATAATAATACATCTTTGTTTTTTTCTGCTCAGTGTTATTTCAGGGTTTTGATCTCTCAACTGAGAGATCACATCCTATTTATTGTATTATAGTGACTATTTAATATTACATCTAAACTTTGACTAGGCTAGACATGTTGCCTATTAATTGTATACAGTATATGAACCTGAAAGCATATTTACATTTTTGTGTATTTTGTGTTACTCCATAATAATGTTCTAGTTGAGGGCATTTGTAGTATAGGTATGGGGCCCAAACATAACCTCAAGCCCAGGGGCCCCCGGCCCCGTAAGTCCTGCCCTGATCGTGTGTGTCTGTATGTAACTGTATAAAGTTATCACACAGTATTATTAGCACTGGTTATGAACCTGTTGCAGGAGGCAGTCCAGCGTCTCCTTGTCCTGAGGAGACAGGCCGTCCTTCGTGAGCCGCACCAGGAGTTCGGGTTTGCGGTAGGGTTTTAGGGCCAGTAAATGCACCAACCGTTCCCTCAGTGGCCGCGGCGGGCTCTTCTTCAGACTGCTGGAGATGACCGGCCGTGAGAAGTTTCGTGACTGTGTCACACCCGACACACCCGTTATCGGCTTCCGGATTTGTACACGCTTACCTGAACAGCCAATAGAGGGGAGAAAAGGAAAAAAAAAAAAACCTTTTAAAATGTTAAAAGAACAGTGGTTCTTTTTAAACAGCATTTTTAAGTAATTAAATCATTTAAACTTTCTGCAAAAATCAAGAGCGTCTTTATCAGTTATTGATTTTGTAAAGTTAGACAAATTTGCTAATAATTTAATGTATACAATTAATGGCATTAAATGTTTAATTATGTTTAAAAAGGCAATTTATTCAGATTTGAGAAGAAAAAATGGATTTGGGCCAAGATCATTGGTTTTAAACTATTTTAAAAAATATAAATATTTCTGTTCCCATTTTTCTTTATATATTTACAATCCATTGCGGAGCTCTCTCCGAAAGTTCAGCGGAGAGAAGGTTTTTGCTATGTTGTGGGTAATGTTTGTACTACTTACGTACATTTCTTTTCTTTTTTTTTCTCTTCTTTTTCTTACACTCTATCTCAGAATCTCAGATATGTCAAGACAGAAGAAAGCCACATTCATGTTTTCATCATGTATATTCTTTTTGTTGTTGTTATAACCAATGAACACTAGCTTAGGCAAGGCTCAGTCTGGGGGTTCATGTGTAAATTTTACCAGTTGGAATGTCAAAGGTTTAAACAATGTAATCAAACTCAACAAAGTCTTGTCACGTTTAGAACACTTAAATACTCATATTGGTTTTTTGCAAGAGACCCACTTAAAAAACCCAGATCATGCCAGACTTTGTAAGAAATGGATTGGACAAGTATTTCACTCAATTTCTCAGTAAATCTAGAGGGGTGGCAATTGTTATCAACAGATGTATACAATTTTCTCCTTCACAAACCTTAGTTGATTCCGGTGGTAGATATGTTATTGTTTCAGGCCTTCTCTATGGTTTAACAGTGACTCTGGCTAATATATACGCACCAAATTACGATGATTAAAATTTTATTCAGAAAATATTTTCTTTACTCCCTGACCTAAACTCACACTATCTTATTATGGGAGGTGATTTTAATTGTTCTCTGAACCCTTCTCTAGACCGTTCATCTACTAAACCTGCCCAACCCTCTAAAACTGCAATTACACTTCAATCGCTTTTAACTACTTGCGGTCAGGCCGATGTATGGCATTTTTTATATCCCACAGCACGACAATACTCATTTTTCTCTCATGTTCACCACAATTATTCACGGATTGATTATTTTTTCTTAGACAATAAATTGCTGTCTAAAGTGAAGGATTGTTCATATGCCAGCATTGTTATATCTGATCATGCTCCACTTTCACTTTCTCTTCAGTTTCAAGATAAGATGTTGGGTTCTCGAAGTTGGAAATTTAATTCTCTACTGCTCTCTGATAAAGCATTTTGTGATTCATTAAAAAATCAATTAGATATATTTTTGGAGATAAATACCATCCCTGAGACCTCACCCTCCATAATTTGGGAATCTTTTAAAGCATATGCTCGGGGTCAAGTCATTTCATATTCAGCTTGTGTAAATAGACAAAGAAGGAAGAAGCTAGAAGAATTATCTCTTGAAATAATTCGGCTTGATTCGGCTTATGCAGCTTCTCCAGATCCTGGAATTTACAAAAAGAGACTCAAACTTCAATCTGATTTTAATATGTTATCAACCCATCAGGCTGAAAAGTTATTGCTGAAGGCTAAACATGCATTTTTTGAGCATGGTGACAAGCCAAGTAAACTTCTTGCACTTCAGTTAAAGGAAAAGTCAGCTCAATTTAATTTCTAAGATTCGGTCCTACGATGGCAATTTGATTACTGACCCTGTTGGTACCGACAATCATACATAGCGACCAAACTGGTTTTATTAAAAACAGATTACGGTTTCATAATATTAGAAGAGCATTTAATATAATTTATTCCTCCAATTCTCACCCATCAGAGGCTCTTCTACTGCTTGACGCAGAGAAAGCCTTTGATCGGGTGGAATGGGACTACCTTTTCTGTGTGCTACAGAAATTCGGTTTTGGCAATACGTTCATATCCTGGATAAAACTTTTGTATTCCTCCCCAGTATGCTCCGGTCGGGCCAATGGAGTATCCTCCTCTATTTTCCCGTTAAAACGTGGCACTAGACAAGGTTGCCCACTTTCACCTTTGCTTTTTGCACTGGTTATTGAACCACTGGCAATTGTCATTCGTAGTGAGCCGGCTGTACAGGGAATTAGGAGAGCTGATGCGGTTCATAAAATCTCATTATACGCCAATGATGTGTTGCTCTATATCTCTGATCCGGTTGTTTCTTTGCCCGAAGCTCTGAGAATTATAAACTCTTTTAGCCTCTTCTCCGGCTATAAATTGAACATAAATAAAAGCGAGTTGTATCCAATAAATTTTCCAATTTCTGATTTACCAATGAGTACTTCAATGTTTAAAGTTGCTTCCCATAGTTTAAATATTTAGGAGTAACAATTACACGTAAGTGTTTAGATCTATTCAAGGCTAATTTTACCACGCTCCTCCAACGAGTCCAGAAGGATTTATAATGGCTGTCTGCCTCCAACCCTCCGTCAGTCTTGTATTTCTTTGATTTTGAAAAAAGACAAAGACCCACACGAATGTGGCCAATCAGTCTTTTGAACGTAGATGTAAAGATACTGGCTAAAATGCTTGCAAAGCGTCTTGAATCAGTTTTACCGACAATCATACATAGCGACCAAACTGGTTTTATTAAAAACAGATTACGGTTTCATAATATTAGAAGAGCATTTAATATAATTTATTCCTCCAATTCTCACCCATCAGAGGCTCTTCTACTGCTTGACGCAGAGAAAGCCTTTGATCGGGTGGAATGGGACTACCTTTTCTATGTGCTACAGAAATTCGGTTTTGGCAATACGTTCATATCCTGGATAAAACTTTTGTATTCCTCCCCAGTATGCTCCGGTCGGGCCAATGGAGTATCCTCCTCTATTTTCCTGTTAAAACGTGGCACTAGACAGGGTTGCCCACTTTCACCTTTGCTTTTTGCACTGGTAATTGAACCACTGGCAATTGCCATTCGTAGTGAGCAGGCTATACAGGGAGAGCTGAGAGCTGATGCTGTTCATAAAATCTCATTATACGCCGATGATGTGTTGCTCTATATCTCTTTGTTTCTTTTTTCTTTGCCCGAAGCTCTGAGAATTATAAACTCTTTTAGCCTCTTCTCCGGCTATAAATTGAATATAAATAAAAGTGAGTTGTATCCAATAAATTTTCCAATTTCTGATTTACCAATGAGTACTTCAATGTTTAAAGTTGCTTCCCATAGTTTTAAATATTTAGGAGTAACAATTACACGTAAGTGTTTAGATCTATTCAAGGCTAATTTTACCACGCTCCTCCAATGAGTCCAGAAGGATTTTACTCACTGGTCGGCTCTTCCCCTTTCATTGGCTGGGCGTGTGAATTCAGTGAAGATGAACATTTTACCTAGATTTCTATATTTATTTCAATGTGTCCCAATCTTTATACCCAAATCTTTCTTTAAGACTCTAAATCAACATCTCATCTTTTATTTGGAATAAAGGACCAGCCAGAATCCGTAGAGAAATACTTCAAAAACCAAAGCTTGAGGGCGGGCTTGCCCTTCCTAATTTCTTATTTTACTACTGGGCAGCAAATATACATTCTACATTATTCTGGTTTCAAAGTCATTATGGGCTCAGTGATTGGGTCCCGTCTTGGGTCAGTATTGAAGAGGGTTTCTGTTCCCCTGCCTCACCTGCTGCATTATTGTGTGGCCCTCTTACTGCCATCTCGCATTGTCCTTATGGTAATTCCATTGTTCGGCAATCGATACGAATTTGGTCCCAATTCCGAACCCATTTTGGCCTTCAGCACTTACCAGTGGTTTCACCTATAAATCGCAACCCTTTATTCCCCCCTTCACTTAATGACAAGGCATTTGAGTGCACATTTTTTTAGATATTTGCAGCTCTGAAATTTTGTTTAAAACTCATTCCCTGATTTTCCGAATCTTCCTCCAAAATCTTTGCTTGATCAGATTCTTGAAGTAGCCTTAGATAAAAAGGGTGTGTTGTCTACACTATACAGGCTGATTTCCTCCATCGTAAATTAGAAATAAAATTATATTTATAAAAGAAATAATTTGATTTGAAATATATACATATTATATAATCTAAATTATATACAATTACTAAAAACGCATAAAATATATTATTCATATTTGAGGAAAAATATTATTTGTTGTTGTGTCGTGACTTAGCACTGTGGATCAGTGGGAATGTATTTAGCTGATTGATTTTGGTCATTAAACACCTTTGGTGAATGCTAGCGTTTGGTAATGATAGATTTGTGTGAGTTAGCAGAGTTCTCCGTATAATATTTGAAGCAGTCTCATCAGTGAGCACCGGAACACACAGCTTCATAAATTATGTAGCACGCTGCAGTTCCAGACATGTGGAGACAAACTGGCTCTAATCGCCCCCCGCCCCCCTTCCACCTGTCTATGCACACTGTGTAAACCGATCAGATTTTGACCAGCTGATGGCCAAAACGAGGTTCTTCCGTTCAAGGAACAGTCGCACATGTTCAAATGTGGCAGCCCGAGATGCATCAAACCTACCCACGTATCTCCCGCCAGGCTTGATGACGATGGCTCCCCGGCTGCGGGTTTCCTCCTCGGCCTGAGCCATGCTTTGCCTGGCTTTCTGGTAGGAGTCGTCCGTGGCGCATACCGTGATTTTGTCCTGGATCCCTCCCAGGCAGTCCAGCTGTATGCTCCCTTCACTGGACAGAGACCAAGCCTGTCAGACACTCCAAATGCCACCAACTACGCCACCTTCTCACCAGTTATCCATTTTCAAATGTGTTGCAATAGCTCATTTACAGCCCCAGGTGGTCGGATGGGCGTCCTCAAAAAGTTCAACACCTGTAGAGAGGTTTCTTACAACCGGCTCATCCTCCCTGAAACCCGGTCAACTGCCCTTGAGCTGTTTGCACTAAGCCTGGCAGTACTGGGAGGTACAAAACATCTGATCACAGTCAAGGCACAGTGCTTTCCCGCCATGCCTGTGCAAAACAACATATATGCAATATAAACTAATTGGCAGGTTGTCTGAACTAGTTGGAAAGGAAGTCCTGTATAATTTAGCTAGTTTAGGGTCATGTCCACCAGTAATTTTTCTTAGGGCTAAATAACTACATTTTATTGCAGAGAAAAGCAGTGACAGAATAGGCATAACACCACAGCAGACTGAATTCTGACAGTAATTGTCTTGAAATGTTTTGTTGAAGCTGGTGAATTTGTAGTGGCGGTGCTACAGATAAACTGACAACTTGAAGGATAAGGTTTATCATGTTGTGAGAATGTAATGAGGTTGACTAGAATAAATTCTGTAATTCATTAAAGTCCAACAAATACAAAAAAAACTGAAATCACTGCGCTCAACCAATACTTAGGATGAAAAGCACAAATGGATCATCAGGATCATATATTGATCCTGATTATATACATATATTATTATACATATATTATGATCCTGAAGATGAATTTGTGCTTTTTGTATAATAAAAAGATCCAAAAAATATTGATTAGGTTTATAAGTGAGTGCGAATCCTGTTTTTTTTTTTCATTTTAAGTAATTCATTATAGATGAACAATAAAACCAACATACATTTGGTTTGTAAGGTGAACTAATGAGTTGAACTAGATTTTCTGTTCTAATTCAATTCTAATTCAAAATATGAAATGTGCATAAAAATGGTGAATTAATAAATTACGGAAACAATAGAGATAAAACAAACAGTATATGCATTTTCAAAAATGATACTTATCCATATAAATCTTATAAATTTACACTATCAAAAGTTTGGAGGTTAGTAATAATAATAATAATAATAATAAAAAAAAACTTTCAGGAAATGAACACTTATTCAGTAAGGATGCATTAAACTGACCAAAAGTGACAAAAATACATTTATAATGTTACAAAATATTTCTCTCTCAAATAAATGTTCTTTTAAACTTTCTATTCAAAGAATCCTGAAAAACGAAAAAAAAAATAAAAAAAAATAAATCATGGTTTCCACAAAAATATTAAGCAGTACAATTGTTTTCAACATTAAGAAGAAATAAAAGTAAAGAAAAAGAGGAAGTAGAAGAACACAAAAAAATCATCATATTAGAATGATTTCTGAAGGATAAAATGAAAGGATAGAATGAAAGGATAGAATGATTTCTCATGTGACTGGAGTAATGACTGAGCTTTGAATCACGGGAATAAATTACATTTTAAATTATATTAAAATAGAAAATGGTTATTTTATTGGGTAATAATATTTCGCAATACTAGTTTATACAATATTTTTGATTTAAAAAAAATTCAGCATTGATGAGCATTAGAGACATTAAAAATAAATAAATTGTATCCACCCCAAACTTTTGAACAGAAGCCTAAATTTCCACATATCATCTAATATAAAAAGATACATTTATAATTTATAAAAATCCACTGAATTCTTTTAATAAGAATGAATAAATAAAAAAAACTCACTAGTCGACCTGATAAACCAAACTAAACTGACCTCTCACAATATAGAGGAGTCATGCAATCAAGTGGTTGTTAAAGACATATAGTCCAGTAGCTGTAAGATCAAACCCCTACAGTGTGATCCACCATTCAACGTCTTAATCATCACTGTACAATGATCTCCAATGCCAGCACTTAACCCCAGACTGTCCCTGTAATAAGTGTACTTTCATTAGGTGTAAGTGTCAGCTAAATGACAAATTAGCAGATTATGAGGTGCAACAGGCTGAAGATAGTGAAAATATGGACTAATTATATGAGAAAGCCAGTGAAACATTAACACAGATCTACAACAATAGGCCAATTCAAAAGAAAGAGTGCAGTAATTGCGTAACATTTTTTAGCTTTGATATCCATGATGTTGAATAAAGATTGTGGCATGCGATAAAATACTGTAATAGTCCTTTCATGAGAGTTAAAGAAAATCCCAGAGTTTACAAGGATACGGTTGAACTTCTGCTGACCCTTCGGTCTTATTGCGAACATCTGAAGACATTAACAGCAAGTCTGTATTTGGATTCCTTGTTTCTTCCTCATTTGGTTGGACAGTTGGCCAAATTCAATTTATTCTCTCTGTTCTGGTGTTCGTACGGACATGAACAGTAGAGGGAATGGAGAAAGGAACAGATGGCGCTGGTAATGATGCCATGGATGCATTCACAGAGTTTAACACTCAAACATCAGATCAACTCTTTTTATGGCAACATTTCCTTTCCAAATACAAACATACTTGTACATCCAAAATCGTTACACTACCTTGAGACAGTCATGAATTTGTCTGAATAAATCATGTGGTTTATTTTCATTCTTACCTTGTAATATACTGCTGAATGCAGTCGAAGCTGCCCTGGGGATTGTCCTTTCCCACATTGGACAGGTAGAACGTAAATGTTCGCAGCTCATTTGGATTCTCCGACTGCGGTATTGAGATTTTCTGTTGACACAGAACAGAAGAACAGCCAATATAAGCATTGAGACAGACAAGAGAGGATTGCCTGTTAAAAGCAGATGGTTAGTACAAAATGCATTACACAGATTTCCTTTTTTTAGCTATAGTACTTTTTTAAAAAACTTTAAGTATTATTTTCACATTGAATAAAATATAAACAAAAATACAAATACATTAAAATAAATACACCAATAAATAAAAATACAAAATATAAATAAAATAAAAAAATAAATATTCTAAATAAAATAAAATCAAAATACGAATGAATAAATAAAAAGTATAAATAAACTAAAATATAAAATCAAAATAAATAACTAAAATATAAAAATGAATTAAATTTAAAAACACCTTCAAAACACCTTCAAAATATAAATAAAAAGAAATAAAAAACAAATACATAAAATCAAAATGCAAATTCAATCAAAGTATGAAATTTAAATAAATAAAAAAATTAATTAATTAAAATAAAGTGATGCCTGTGGATCTTAAGCTCTTTATCCAAATTCAACATACAAGAAATCTCCCAAAGAACCAGCTTTTCCAACTGGTTGGAGAGCATGGTAGATGGCATGTGTCGTCCATGAGTTTCACTTTTCTACAGTGAAACTTCATGAGTTTCGTTTTTCTACAGTGACCAAACTGCAAATGCATAATCTTTTAGAGTTGCACTTGACCACTTTCAAGACAATTGAGGTTTGTGGCCCTCGGGGGCCTTCTATAAAATCGCCTTAATGTGCAACCATACGGACCAACCTCCGGCTCCCGCAGCCACCGCACAGGTGTTTCAGCAGAACACCTGAGAATGCAGCGAACAAATGCGTCTCGGGCTCTGTGTCGTGAGCCAAATTATAGGCATCAACTAAGCAGCAGCAGCAGCGGTCACACACACACACATGGAAAGCTGAAAATCATGGGCAATAATTTACAGCACTTTCCTGAGACTCGTTTTGTGTGAGTGGCAACTCTGTCTGCCTTAGGGCGTTCACACTTGTAGTTCGGTTCTCTTGGTTCGTTTGGTCCGGACCAAAAAAAGAAATCGATAAATTTGGTCCTGTTCTGCTTAGCGTTCACACTGGCATTTTTGACAGCGAACCTAAAGATACCAAACCTAAAGGCATTGGTCGGGTTGAATGACATATATTTCGCAACGGAACTCACCGAACACCCCAAACAAAAGCTGTGTTCGGCTTAAAGTGGCGCTGCGCAGACTGATCGGTGTATGACCTCAAAGTACCAATTCACCGATCGGTCTGCTCAGCGCTGCTTTAAGTCGAACACACCTAATGCTGTCCGCGCGCTCATTGCTGCGTGTACTTATGATTTTATTTTCACCACCTGCGAACTCACAAAGAGCTCATAAAAGGAACTTTACCTCCTCGTTGCTACATGTTTGCCCTCTGCTCTGATTTTGTTTTGGATTCACCGCTTGTTCCGCGTCGTCAAATCATGTGTCAGTGTCGCATCTTGTCATTACTTCCTGTTTTTGGTTCGTTTAGAAGTATTTGGTCTGTTTTGCGTTCATATTTCATTCGAACCAGACCAGAGTTAGTTTGGAATCGGACCGAGACCCATCTTTTTAGAGTCTCGGACCGCTTGTTTGGTGCGCACCAGGGTTCGGATGGCAGCGTTCACGCTTACTCAAATGAACCGCACTAACATAGCAATTGCACCAGGGTTCGTTTTAATTGAACCAAACATGACAAGTGTGAACACTAGGGATGCAACGAATTTTCGGCAGCCGAAAATGGCATTTTTGGTTTTCGGCCGAAAGAGAAAAACGGCTGAAAATATGAGCCGAAAATATAGGCTACATATAAAAACAACAACATATATATATATATATATATATACACATATACATATACAGTGGGTACGGAAAGTATTCAGACCCCCTTAAATTTTTCACTCTTTGTTATATTGCAGCCATTTGCTAAAATCATTTA